AATGTACTAGGAGAGACGCTATTCCTCTGGCCTACTGCATGTTGAACAGTAGTGGCCATGTTCTGACTTCCTCCTCTGGCTTAGGCATTTTGAACAGCTTGTTGCTGACTCCCCCCGTGTCATGACATGAAAGATTGTGAGCATTAGCGTGCTCTTTAATGTTGCACACTCCAGCAGCACCTGGTAAGTTTTGAAAAGAATCACCTTATTCAGTAGCTGTGTCTCTGGCTGCAATCGTCATTTTTGTATCCAAAGTTACCTACTATATTTAGTGTCCCAGTCAGTGATGGATACATGCCAGAATGTTTTGCCATGTCACCCTTTTCCTCTGATTGCTTTTTTATTTCAATGAGTTGTTTTTTTAAGTACTTCTATATTGTTCTCCCTCATCTTTGAGAAAACCAACAATCTTTAGCTTAAGCTCTCGTTTTTCTCATCTTTTCTTGGATTTATCTTTTGCCTTGTAGTCTAAAAACCTTGTCTCCATTTCCTCACACAGATGTGGGTCAACACTACCATTTTCTGGCCATGTTTGTGAGAGATGTTTGGTGCGATTGTGCCATTTCTCAGACACCTTTGGAATTTGTGAGACATATTCTGGATGCTTCAATCGATAATCACTGTCAGCAGATTAGACATTTTTATTTTTTGTTGTTTTACTTCACAAGGTTTGGTCCTAAAGTTGGCAAGGTTTTCATTATATTAATAGCTTTCATTGTTTTAACAATATATCAGATAATTATGCAGTATTCAGATGTTGCCACACAAGTCCTTTAATATTGTAACTTAAGCCTGTATTGTAGATAAAGCCTTTGGAAGGAGTAGTTATATAATGATTTAAACTGATTTAAATGTTTAAACTTAACATACTTACAAGCATGCTATGCAGTTCAATAATTTAAGTAATTATTTATTTTAACAGCTAGATTAGACATGCTGAAAAGAACCCTGTCCTCTGGCAGATGTATCTTAACATAAATCAAAGAAAATTAGGCAAAACCCAGACATCAAGCCACCAATGGATTAGCTTGCATTTCAAATAAAAAAAAAAATATTTGTTGGTTATAACAATTTAAGCTCACAGAATGCAGCACTGTGTTCAAAAGTTGTTTACCACACAGAAGATCTTCGCAAAGTTAGAAAAAAGATCTTAATTTTTATCTGCAGCCTGCCACTCTTTGTTCAAGAAGGAAGGGGTAGAGTCAGAGCAGAAGGAGGAAGGGGAGAGAGAGATGGTGATGTGAAACTTAGAGGTGGGCAGAGTAGGGAGACGGGAGGGTAGAGTGAAAGTGGATGGAAAGAGAGAGAAGGGAGGAGAGTGGGGTGGGTGGAGTGAAAGAGGACAGAGAGAGAAAGGGAGGGGTGCACAAAAATGCAACTTTATGTCCTTTTAAGCCTCTAGCCATAACTTAACATAACAACATAACAACCAACTTCTCTTATATCCACAGCATATGTAACAACTCGCTGTATAATACTTAACAACTTTTCTTCCCAATATGTTAAAACATCAGACATCATTAAGCTCTGATTGAGATTGAACAAATAGACACTCCCTTCAAAGCAGCTCTGCCAAATACAACAGATTGTGAGGAGCTAGGTGCTGGACCCAGAATGCAGAGAGCCAGGCTAGGAGAAAGGAGCAAAGTTTATTCTTTGGTTCACAGGCAGACAACGAAGGAAGGCGTCTCTGGAAGCAGGGGCAGTTAAAGGTGGAAGGCAGGCTCTCTGCAGCAGTTGGAGAAGAGGGAGGTGGGTGGTGTGGCTTGGTAGCTGGTGACTGATTTGGAGCTGGATCCTGTAGACAGAGCACAACTTCAAAAGCTGCCAACTTCTCTTCCACAAGGAAGAGAACTTGGCACATCTACCAACAAACGGTGACCATCAGGCAGTGAGCACACAGGAAGCCAGGCTTTAAATACTGCTCCAGATGAAGATCAGTCTCAGCTGTGTGCAGCCAGCTCCTCCCAAGCAACACCTATCAGAGAGAGAGAGAGAGAGAGAGGGGGGAGACAATCTAAACTGAACCTAAACAGGCTCAGACATCACACAGATATTAGAAAATGTGACGCAGCAACAATTACACGTGAAAGCAGACGTCTTTTACAGATATAAAGTGATCACTTTCTTTCTTTTGTTTAGTCTTTTATGTTTTTAGACTTATTTACCCAATTCTTTTTTCTGTTTGCTTTATTTCCTTATGTTTATACTCTTGTTACCTCCTTTTATATTGACCTTCTATGAATTCTGGGACACTTTGGAAAGGTTGTTATAAATCTCTAATTTAATCATTTGTAGAGACCAGACTTACATTACACTGTTTTCAACCTAATTAGATCACAATGATTAAGCAGCTCTGATTACAGATATGAAAGGAGGTTTGAATTTAAACAGAGGTTTTCAGTGCACGCTTCTTCTTTCTTATCAGCAAACACACTTCAAACAACACCGATTATACAGAATCACATAATGTTTACCTCAGGGCTCTCCAGGCACCCAAACATTCATTCCGGTAAAGGCCATAGCAAATAATCTCTTGTGCACCTAATTTTTTACTTCATAGACCCAAGCAGCCAATTTAAACTAATATGCATGCAATTTTGAACTTGTTTAACAAATTTTGGTCAAACCACATCAACACAGAGCCAACCTGCTCTCTTTTTTTTTCTCCGGGAAGCAAAAACAACAACAACAGCTATTATTAAGTTAGTTGTATCATTGATTAATGATACATCAATTATCATCTCTGACAGGGAGTTTCCACCAATTCCTTGGTTATGGTGAAAACTCACCTCAAAAGACTGCTCTTAATGACTCATTGATCCAAGCCAGCTCTGACAGCTCCTTTTACCTCAAGATGCCAATTTATGCTGCAGCACACATCCAATGCCAAACAGATAATAGTTTGAATTATTTAGTGTGGCTGGTTTTCAGACAGCACAAGTGATCTGCTAAAATCAGCCAATAAACTGAAGAACATAGATTTTTTATTTTATTTTATTTTTATTTTTTACAGTGTCCTGTCTGGCAATAAAAATAATTGTCTTGATGCCAAAAAGAGCCCAACAGATTTTACTTTTACAAGTGGAGCAGTAGGGCTATCGCCATAGTGTTCTGCTTGTTTCATTCATATAAATTGCTTTGTTATAATTATGCAGGGAGGTTTACAGTTTATATGGACACTGCAATGTAAATAGAACAGAAGATGAAAAACAGAAGAAAAGATAAAAGAAAGAGGAAAAAGGGAGATAATGATAAAACATTTTCAGTCTGCTTCATCACATGCAAAGAGATGTAAAAAGAACAGCACAACCAACAGACATGGTACAAGACATACAATAAAGTAACACCTAGATACTATCCCTGAAGTATAAGTAGTATTATTTAATCTGGCATGTATAATGTGGTAGCTGAAGATAATAATATGGGCTTTCTGTATGGAAGTTAATCTCTACGTACCTGAAGCCTAGCACCTGTAAATGTTTGCCAGAGTGCACTTGTGCATGTAAAGTTTATTCAAAGAAAAATGCTCAATAGTGGTTGTGGAGAGCCGAAGAGGCGCCCGCCCCCCACGCGCAAAGGGACCCCAAGAGCGAAGGCACCAAGGAGGGGCCAGCCCCGGAAATCAGACCCTCACCAAGGGAGGAGGAGAGACAGCCCCAAGGAAGTCCCCAAGCCACCGCAAAGCTGGAGCCCCCGGGAGCCGTGGGGACGAGTCCATGGGGTCTGCCGGAAGCCAGCCACCCGAAGTGAATCCGGCCCTGGGCCCCAAGGGTGCCCCACCCCCGGCTAGGAGCCCCAGCCAGGCCTCGGCCGGCCGGGCCCCATGGAGACACCTCCAGGAATGAGCCAGCAGCCACCCGGGCATCCACCCCCACACCTCGAGCTCCACCAGTGCACTGGCGAGCCCCGACGCCAGCCAGCGGAGGGAGAGCGGGACGGGGGGAATGGTGCGCCGCACTTAGCGGAGACTTGAGATGTGCTTGGGAGAGGGGGTATTTCAGACCCCAACCTGGGAGAGAAAAAAAAAAAACAAAAAAAAACTCACAGTCTCAATCACGAAGAACATAGATTTAACTCAACCATGTCCTGACGACTTCTTTAGTAAGTCTGAAGAGGGTGGCCCCGCAGCTCACTCCTAATGGCTGGACACGCCCTCACAGTGAGTTCTTGATTCTTTTCAACATGGCCAGTGCAACAACTGTCAAAATGGTAGAATTCTCAAAAAATCAAGACGCCTTCAACCAAATATCTAATTTGCCCACAGGACAGGGCGAAATTTATACACATTTATAGTTCGCCAGATTATCACTGACAATTTAAGCTTTTCCCAAGCCTCTCCTCATTTTAGGTTGTATTTATAGTTACTTGTAGCGTTGTGTGTATGTGGTGCATGACTAAAAACTAAGACGAAAAATCTTACTGGAGTAGGTGTGTTCTGGACAAGGTTGTAAAAATGGCCAAAGTTGGCTCTAATAATTAAAGAGGAAAATATGTTTTTTAAAAGATTACCTGGCTTATAAATTGACTAAGTGCAGATTCAATTGAGTTTAAACATCCTGTTTGCCAAGATGCCTTGTGTAAGTGACCTCCAGCCCGTATTACTATTGTGGATGAAAGAAAGAGGCCTTTATAATTACTTATATAATTTAGTTACTTCTACATTGCAAAATATTGCAATATAATTATTTTGCAGCTTTTGAATCAAGTTTTTTATCAATATTTTCATTTTATCAATCTTGTTGGCATACCAAAAGGTTTGGCTACCAGTTCTGTAACAATACTGTGGAGAGGATTGAATCAGATTAGAATATGGAAGTTGTAGGTTCGATTCCAGCTTCCACCATGACTAGAAAACAACAAAAGTAAATCAGTCCATTGATTAGATTATTTAGAAGTGATTCTCTGTGGGACCAAGCAAATGAACATGAAACAAACTGACAGAGTTTAAATAATGTTTAAATAACTGACTTTCATTCATTAGATTTAATGTTTTTCAGGATGAAAGGCATCAAATGGGATGAAGACTTGATCTCAGAAAGTTTTGAGATCCAATCAGAGCTTCCTGCCGTCTACCAGCTGAGAACAAAGAAAGAGAAGTTTGGGACTCTGACCAGAGTCATTTATGGCCAGAAAGATGAGAAGAAGCCAAACAGAACCATCTTACTTGTTGGTGAAACAGGAACAGGAAAGTCTACTCTGATCAACGCTCTGGTCAACTACGCCATGGGGGTGAAGTTTGAGGATGAAGTCTGGTTTCAGATTGTAGAAGAAGAGAATAGAAGTCAGACAGAGAGCCAAACCTCAGATGTGATCGTCTATCAGATCTTTGAAGGTCAAAATCTGCCATTCTCTCTGACCGTCATCAATACTCCTGGGTTTGGATACACCACAGGGAGTGAACATGATTTGGTTGTTAGTCAGAGATTGTTTGACTTGTTTCTATCAAAAGATGGAGTTCAGGAGATTCATGCAGTTGGTCTGGTGATGAAGGCAAGTGAGAACCGACTGAGTGACCGTCTGAAGTACATCTTTGAGTCACTGATGGCTCTGTTTGGAAAAGATTTGGAGAAAAACATTGTAGCTCTGGTCACTCACTCATATGGAAGAAAACCTAAATATGTCTTAAAGGCTCTTGAAGTTGCAGATATTAAATGTGCCAAAGATAGAAACAATCAGCCTGTTTACTTTCTGTTTAACAATTATGAAATGACAGAAAGAGACACAGAGGAAACAGCTGTTTGGAAGCGTTTCTGGGATTTCACCAACACAGAAATACAAAAATTCACCACCTACTTAAACACATCCCAACCTCAGACACTGACAACAACTATGGAGTTTTGGAATGAGAGGATCAGACTGACCGCCTGCATCCAGAACCTGCAGGAAAGAGTTAAGCTGAGTGAACTAAAACAGAAAGATATTAAACAGATCCAAGAAGCTCTAAAGAACAATGAAAAAGAGATTAAGAATAATAAGAACTTTTCTATAGAGATTGATGAGACCTATAAAGACAAAGAACCAATCAGTGGCAGGATGTGGGGGTTAGTATTTTTTGAAGGAGCTGTCTGTTGCACTCGATGTGAGGAGAACTGCCACTACCCTGGATGTACGATGGCTTGGTATCCTGAGCACTGTGAGGTCATGAAAGAAGGTCGCTGCACAGTTTGTACCGGAAAATGTCCTGCATCAGATCATGTGAACGAGCAGTGGAGGTATGTGACCAAAACCAGGAAGGCTAAGAAGACTCTGCAAGACATGAGGGAGAAGTATGAGAACAATAAAGCAAAATGTGAGAACATGTCGAGCCTCTTGGAAAATCTTAAAGAAGAATCCAGGAAGCTGTCTGCAGAAACCTTAATGTTTCTGCATGAAGCATATCAACATGCTGTCAAAATAAAGTCAGTTTCCACTTGTGTTCACCTGGACTTTCTGATTGATAAGCTGGAGAAGAAAGATGACACCTGGAAGGCTGAGAAGCTGAAGAAGATGAAAAGTGAAAAAGATGAGAAGGAAACAATGCCAGTGCGACATTACATGAAAGCCGTCTCCAAGGCTGAGAAAAAAAAAGTTACATAATTATTTGGGAAGAGAGAAACTTATGAAAAATAAAACTCATCTTTATAATCATCTCTGTACATCTCCTGCTTCTGAAAACAATTCAGTTAATCTACTAACAATTTATTGAAATATCATTTTTTTTATTCCCGGTAATCACATTTTGAATAATTAAACTAATGCATTAACTTAGGTCTGTTTCTATGTATCTTTATTTTAGAGAAACATTAGAGTAATAAGCTTAGCTTCTATAAAAAGCTGCAGGATTTACTCTGTCAGGATCGAGTTATTATTTTAAAATCATTACGGTTCTTTGGACAAGTAAACTGATAGAGGGGCTGTGTCTTTAAAATCAAATGGCATAAACATTACTATAAATGTTAATTCTTCCTCCTTATGAGTTACAGCTGTTCTCCTCTGTGATAATTTTTTCAGGTCATCTTTAAACATTAATGAGATTAAATCAGATGTTTCTAAATGTGACATTTTCCATTTTCCAATGTATATGTGTAAGATACAATCATGTGATCCTTTTTGGTCTACTTGATATTCTACATCCCAGTTCAACATTATTTTCTTTGTAATGTAGATTTTTTTCTTTATCAATAAAGTTTCTGCTTTGTGAAACCAGTTTTCTATTGATTTCTTTACTTTCCCATCAGCTCAACTGATGAGCTTCATTCAATAACGTTTAGATTTTTCAACAGAAATAAGAACAGGAACAACAACAAGAACAACTGCCTTCTGAAAGTATTTTGCCCCCTTGTACTTTTCGACCTTTTGCCACATTTCAGGCTTCAAACAAAGATATTAAATTGTTTTAGTTAAATAAATATAAATTTGAAGACTGTTGCGTGCAAAATTATTCAGCCCCCTTTACTTAACACTTTGTAGAGCCACCTTTTGCTGCAATTACAATTGCAAGTCACTTGGGATTTTTCTCTATCAATTTTGCTTACTGAGAGACTGAATTTTTAACCCATTCTTCCCCTAAAACAGCTGGAGGTCAGTAAGCTTTGATGGAGACCGTTTGTAAACAGCAGTTTTCAATTATTTCTGCAGATTCTCAAATGGTTTGAGGTCTGGACAGTGACTAGGCCATTCTAACACCTTGATATGTTTATTTGTGAATCATTCCATTGTAGATGTTGCTTTGTGTTTTGGATCATTGTCTTGTTGGTAGATAAATCTCCATCCCAGTCTCAGGTCTTTTGGAGACTCCAACAGGTTTTCTTCCAGAATGGTCCTGTAACTGGCTCATCTATCTTCCCATCAATTTTAACTATCTTCCCCGTTGCTGCTGCCACCACCATGTTTGACAGTGGGGATAGTGTGTTCAGGGTGAAGAGCTGTGTTACTTTTACGCCAAACATAACATTTTGTAATATTATCAAAAGGTTAGATTTTGGTTTGATCTGACCAGAATACCTTCTTCAAGAAATGTCTGTTTTGCATAAAGGCCAGGATTGTTGTCCTATCCCTAATCTGGTGTTGTCCTATCCCGGAAAGACACAGCCAGGCAGACAAGCTCTGAGCCAGCTCCCATGTCATAGGATGAAAGAGAGCACATACAGTTAGTCTGTTAAAAAGACAGGGCTACCCTGAAAAAAATATCCACTTATTACTGAATAAACAAAGATGTTTAATAATTATGTTTTATAAAGAGGAGATAATTGCAATAAAAAACTGTTGCTACTGTGCTGGATATACTTCAAATTGATTATTTTTATATCAGGAATGAGCCAGTGTTTGAAACAAATTTGGAAAAGCTGAGGAAATATGATAATCCAAAAGAGAACACTATCTGTGACTACTCAGTGTTATTTAATACCAGGTTAAACTTTATGACAACATCTCTCATCTACTGTCAGGCTTTGAACAAGAGGACCCAATATTCGAGGCAGAGAGACGGTAAGGTTTAAAAATGTTTAAGATGTAGCAGTAGAAAACAGTGACAGCATATAAAGCAGGAACCTCTGCAGGAGGGGAACACAGGTAAGTGACCACCTCAATCTGGCGGAGGATGATAATGAACGTGTGGGTCGATAATCTTGTCTTAAAGGGGTGATAGAATGATTCTATAGGGTATCTGGTGCTGGTTCTTCAGGTCTCTGAATGAGATGTGTAACATTGTTTGGGCTGAAAATGGCATATTTTCTGTTCTATGAGCCCTAATTCAAGCCTGGTTAAAAGCCCTAGAATGGGGGACTTCCTCGGGGCTGTCTCTCCTCCTCCCTTGGTGGGGGTCGGATTTCCTGGGCTGGCCCCTCCTTGGTGCCTTCGGTCTTGGGGTCCCTTTGGGCTTCTGGGGCTTTGGGTCTCCCGGCGCTGAACCCAGTGCTCTAGTGGGCCGCCTCTTCGGTGCTCCAAAACCACTATTGAGCATTTTTCCTTTGGATAAACTTAACATGCACAAGTACACTCTCACAAACGACTACAGGTGCTTGGTTTTAGGTACTTAGAGATTCACTTCCATACAGAATGCCCATATTGTTATCTTCAGGTAACATAGAGTACATGTCAGATTAAATAATACTACTTCAGCAATAGTATCTAGGTGATAATATTTAGATGAGCTGTGTGCTGATTGGTTGGTTTACAACCAGTCAGCTGCTGAGCAAAGACGCTTCATAGTAACAAGCACTCACTCACTGAAACATCAAAATTGTTGATATGTTTGGGAGACCAGATGTCCTCTTTTTTCCTTGACATGTCCTACTTTTCTTTGCTAAAAAAAATGTCAGTGGGGAATTCAAAATCAATCAATTTCGGTCGGCAGCCCTTACCGGCCCCCCTCCTCCGGCTGAGGACGAGCTCATGGCTCTCTGCTGAGGTCTGGTCCAGTCAGCGGCCAGCAGGATCAAGAGGTCACAGAATCTGTACTTTGGTGAAGATAGCTCTAAATTTGGGGAAAAACTTAGACTCTTGCAAAGTTCACATTTTTTTAACATCCTCAGATGGAGAGGTAGAGCTCTGACTGGGGCAAGCTCAGTACATATATTTATACAACAACTCCAAATACACACACTCTCCCTTGGAACAATCTTACCCTTGCATAAAGAACATTTGGAGGAAAACAACTTCAGTTCATCAAGGCTGTTCCCTGTAAGGTTAATCTATCTTTCACTGGCTGGATGGATCTTCTCAAAACAGCATTCCTCCTCTTCATGCCATGAAGGAGGCTGTGTGACTCATTCTTATCTCTCATGACCTTTGTTTGGAGCCTGTGAGGCTAAGAACAGACAAATCTCAACATTCCACAACTCCTCCCTTTTGTTCCTTAACAGAAAATTCAAAAACAAAGATAGAACAATGTAAAAAATGTAGAAAGCATAAAAAATATGAATGTTTCATAACAGTTGTAACATAATAGCAAAAAAATAAAGATCAGGAGAATACTCTGCTTCCACTTCTATCCATCACTGTCCAGTGGTTTAAGACAGAACCTTCATTAAGACACATACCTGGAAATTATGCTGTTTTTCTCAGGAAAAAACATCTAGTTGATCATAACCAAAAAAAGAAAATGCCTTATTTTTTAAGAATAAACTTTAGAACACAAAAATAAAAACTGTTATTTTAACACAACACAAAATTGTTTGCAACGGGTTCATTTTCCAACAGGGCAAATATGCGTCAAAATGGCAGACTCAAAGTCCACCTGTCAATTCAATCTAGAATGATATTTAGATCAAAAGGTAGCTTTTTACCCCAATCAACACAAGGAAGCAGTCTGCAAGCTCAGAGATTTGGTTAAAGCAACCTGCCGCTAAAAACATTGCTAAGGATGTCCAAATAGTGGGCATGCCATGCCCACTATTTGGAAATATTTTCAAGTTGACAAGGACGACAAAAGTAAGGCTGTTTGCAAAATATGCAAGTCAAAGTTTTCAAGGGGAGGAACAAACACTAATAGTTACAACACAAGTAACCTAATAAAACATCTTAAGACGGAACATGATGCCGAACACAAGGAGTTCTCTCATGGCGGTGGGACGCCCTTTCTAGGCAGTTTTCCTCGGATGAATCTGAGGAGTCGGCTGCTCCCATCCTGCCTCCTAGCTGCTGCATTGCCGCAGTCACCTGGGAGATAGAGGATGTTGTCAAACAGGCCCAACAGACTGAACCTGATCCTGGAACTGGGCCAGCTAACAGAATCTATGTACCAACCTCCATCTGAGCTCGTGTTATTAACTGGATTCATTCTTCTAAGTTTTCTGCCCATCCAGGAATCAGTCGAATGGTTGCCCACATAAGTCGCCGTTTTTGGTGGCCCTCCTTGCTGAAGGATGTCAAGGAGTTCATGTTGGCCTGCCCGACCTGCACACGCAACAAGCCCTCTCACCAACCTCCTTCTGGTCTGCTTTAACCTTTACCCATCCCCAAGCGACCCTGGTCTCACATTGCCATCAACTTTATCACTGGACTCCCCACCTCCAAAGGTATGACAACCATCCTCACCATCATTGCTCGTATCTCCAAGGCCTGTCATTTAGTCCCTCTGAGAAAGCTCCCTACAGCTCTGCAAACAGCCCAGCTTCTAGTCAAGCATGTCTTCCACCTTCATGGTATTCCCCTGGACATTCTGTCTGACCACGGCCTGCAGTTCATCTCCCAGGTATGGAGAGGATTTTGCTCGGCACTTGGGGCCAAGGTCTCTCTCACTTTGGGTTACCACCCCCAATCCAACGGTCAAGTTGTAAGAATGAATAAGGAGTTGGAAACCAGCCTCAGATGCCTCACAGAAACCAATCCGGATAACTGGAGTCAACTCCTGTGCTGGGCTGAGTATGCCCATAACTCTACTGTCTCCGCAGCTACTGGTCTATCACCATTTGAGATCTCCTTAGGATACAGGCCACCCCGTTTTCCCTTTGAAGAGGCAGACATCACCGTACCCTCCGTCCAGCAACACATCCGCCGCTGCCGGACCCTCTGGAACCGGGCCAGGATGGCCCTGGGAAGGACCTACCAGCAGAATCAAAGGTGGGCCAATCGCAGGAGGAGAGCTGCCCCTTCCTATCGCTTGGGCCACGAGGTCTGGCTCTCCACACGTGACATTCCCCTCAAGTCCATGTCTAAGAAGATGTCCCCTAGGTTCATTGGTCCATATGAGGTGGAGAGGACCATAGGGAAATCTGCCGTCCATCTCTGTCTCCCCTCCTCTCTACGCATACACCCCACCTTCCATGTGTCCTAAGTCAAGCAAGCCCGTCTCATCGAGTCCCTTCTGCCCACCCGCTGAGCCCCCTCCCCCTTTGGACATTAATGGCCACCCCGCCTACACGGTTCGACGCATTGTCGATGCCCGTCCCCGTGGGCGTGGGTGGCAGTATCTCGTGGACTGGGAGGGCTACGGTCCCGAGGATCGCTCCCGGGTCATGGGATCGTACATGTTTGACCCCTCCCTCATTAGGGATTTCCACCTCTCTCAACCCTCCGGTTCCTCTGGACCGCCGGAGGGGTTGGGGGGGTTGTACTGTCAGGGCTCCTGTCTGTGTGTTTGTTTTGTGTGCGTCTCCTTTCCACCAACAGGAGGCGCCTGTCTGGTGGAAG